GTCAGTTTAAGTAAAAGACATTCATAAATATCATTTCATTAAGCCTAAAAATTAGTGCCCCACTGTTATCAATAATATATGCCAAAACACTTGATATCTTCACAAGAATGAAATAAAAGCAGCAGTAAATTCAGAGTTGTTTGGAAATTTACATGTCATTGGATGTTCTCACATTCTGCTCTTAAATTTAGATAAGTATTAATTAATGATGAGATTGAAGTAAGTCATGGTATACTAAAGTACAAGATAAATGAGTTTGCTTAATTATAGTAGAAGTAGGGTTAGAAAACAATCAGTTTCATTCCTGGTGATCACATGTAGTTGAAGTCTGAATCATAGGCTTACCATCTGCAAGGTTCATAACTTAGTCATTGACACTAGTGGTGGTCACTTCCTGAGTTGTGTTTTGTGATGAATGGAAAAGTAATGAGTTTCTGGTTTGATGGAACATTTAATGTAATCAGTATATACCATAAATCGGGTAAAAGCTGCCTTACTATCATTTAGACAGAATAAGTTGGATTAGATTTGAAGTTTTTTTTTTTTTTAACTGAATATATCTGAATTATGTGTTTTGTGTACTGATCTGTTGAGACCAAAATGTCTTTCAGCCAGATTCACTCAATAAAACTTAGGCATATAATCTTTACTATGGATTTTAGCTTTGACCAAAATTATGAATCTTATTGTATGGTCATCAATTTTTTTCATAGTATTACGAATTTTGCTTATATAATGTGCTTTGAGACTTATTCTTTCAAATTTCAAATGTTATATTGCAAATAAAATGCAAACTAACAAAATGTGTTAATTGCTAATGCATAGGAAAAACAAAAAAAACTTGGAAAAATGTTAATTTTAACACTAGGGGTATTTAATATAACCACACTAACTACATTAATTAAAAACATTTATACATAATTAGAACTTTTTTTGAAAATAATGCCATGGGTAACAGTTTTATTACTTTATGTCTAGAGAATTTTTTAATACTAAAATTTCAAGCAAATCTAATTTTTTTTATACCACCTGGAAGATGATGACGATATTGGAACCCTTGGATTTTAAGCCATTTTTGTATTAGCATGAGTTAGTTTTCTTATACACTTCTATCGTCCATGGCCATCTGCAAAAAGAAAAAATATTTTTTCACGAAATAAAACATAAATCATATTTTAACACTTATGTATAAAATGGACCCGTGTTTAGAAGTTTTCACCTTAAATATACTTGATATGATTAGGTTCAATGTATATTGTCTGTACTAGAAGAAAACGATCCTGTTTAGAATAAGCACTTAGGTGATATAATGTACTTATTGAAACTTAACAGTACGAGATTGTGCTGAATACGTGGGAGCCACGACAACTATGCTTAAATACAGGTACATTTACAAACTGTGTTGTGTAAAATATTGGAAACAACGATTTGACTCATTGGTAAATCAGTGGATTTATAACGATAAAAATCAGATTTCGATACCCGCAGTAGGTAGTGTACAGATAGCCTATTGTGTAGCTTTGAGCTTTACAACAAACAAATAAAAGACAACGATTGGAGAAGTCCACTGGTCCTTTGCTGCCATTTATGTTGTTGTAAATGCTGTTTGTTAAAAAATTACCAGGAACTTGTGCTAATTTGTACAAGTATCATACAGTTAATATATTGGAAGTCATTGTATTGCTTAAGATGAGTTCAGAGTGAAATGAAAATTCATAAGTATTATCGTAACCTACCAAAGAGACGATGTATATAAACAACACTGAAAAGTTTTTTCTACCCATTTAATTGACACAATCAGGAGAGGACGCTGTTTATAATATCACATGGCCCAGCATGACCAGGTGGTTAGGGCGCTCGATTCACAATCTTAGGGTCGCGGGTTCGAATCCCCATCCCACCAAATATGCTCGCCCGTTCAGCCGTGGGGGCATTATAATGTGACGGTCAATCCCACTATTCGTTGGTAAAAGAGTAGCCCAAGAGTTGGCGGTGGGTGGTGATGACTAGCTGCCTTCCCTCTAGTCTCACACTAAATAGCTCTCGTGTAGCTTTGCGCGAAATTCAAAAACAAACAATAATATCAAATAAATCTTTTTCACCATGTTTTTAAAAACGTTTGTTCGAAGTTAAGCACAAACCTACACAATGGGCTATGGTGCTCTGCCCACCACGAGCATCAGAACCCTGTTTCTAGCGTTATGAATCCGCAGACATACCGCTGTGCCATTGGGGGGGGGGAGCTTTTAAAAACAATAAAATTCTTAGATTTTCATTACTAGCTTGTTGGATTGATACAACATTCAAGATCTATCTAAAATTATTATATATTACTGTGTGTATGTATATATATATACTGTAAATTAAAAACATTTTGCTCTCACGTTGAAAGTCATGTAAGTTGGTTGATTTGTTGTTAAGCATAAAGCTATACGATGGACTATCTATGCTCTGCCCATCACGAGTATCGAAACTCGATATTCAGTGTTGTAAGCACGCAGTCTTACCGCTGAACTACTGGGAGTAAATCATGCAACTCAAAAGGATTAATGACTACTGTATATTTCACATATAAATAACTTTAGGCTTTCCCACGTTTTCAAGATAACATTATAAAGAAAATATATAAATTAATATACACCTGAAAACGTCACCTTAAAGTGTATTTTTGCAGGGAGAAGTGTTATCAAGTGAATAAATACAAAAGATTCTTCGAGAGGCTAAAATAGCACTTAGAGATTTTATGGATCGTTGAAATTATTTATTTATGAACAATATTATAGCGACACATAGGCAACCTATGATATTAATAGTACTTTTAATGTATTCTTGTCAACGCCAGATTATCCGTTATAATGGTCTTTTCAATTATCTCACCTCTTTACTTAGGATGTCGTTGTCTTTCCACACCCGAATCCAAGAAATTTTCTTTCACCACACGATAACTTTTTGTCTTAAGAGCAATTGAACGAGTTTTATCGGTATTTAATGTTCTCTGGTGGAGTATGTCTGCAATGCTAGTAACATGCCTAGGAAACCGTCTTGGTAGTACTGGTTGGTAATGGAAATCATGAAATGGGTGATCAGGAGGAGCATTACCTTCCCAGCTCGTTTTAGTTGGCGGTCTTGTGATTGGAGGACGAGTTATTGGCGGTTTTGTAATTGGTGGGCGAGTAATTGGCGGTCTTGTAATGGGTGGACGAGTAATTGGCGGTCTTGTAATGGGTGGACGAGTAATTGGTGGTCTTGTAATGGGTGGACGAGTAATTGGTGGTCTGGTGATTGGGGGTCTCGTAATGGGTGGACGAGTTATTGGTGGTCTGGTGATGGGAGGATGGGTAATAGGCGGTCTCGTAATGGGTGGACGAGTTATTGGTGGTCTGGTGATTGGGGGACGAGTAATGGGTGGACGAGTTATTGGTGGTCTGGTGATAGGAGGATGAGTAATAGGCGGTCTCGTAATGGGTGGACGAGTTATTGGTGGTCTGGTGATAGGAGGATGAGTAATAGGCGGTCTCGTAATGGGTGGACGAGTAATTGGTGGTCTTGTGATTGGGGGACGAGTAATTGGCGGTCTCGTAATGGGTGGACGAGTTATTGGTGGTCTGGTGATAGGAGGACGAGTAATAGGCGGTCTCGTAATGGGTGGACGAGTAATTGGTGGTCTGGTGATTGGGGGACGAGTAATTGGCGGTCTTGTAATGGGTGGACGAGTAATTGGTGGTATGGTAATGGGAGGAAAAGTAGTTGGTGGTCTTGTTGCAGGTGAAGTTGGTGGGATTACAGTGACGGTTACAGGATTTGTTGGTTCTCCAGGACAACGGTCTTCACAATATTGTTTACAAACATCAATATTGCAAGTTATGTAAACATCCATACCTTCAGGGAACTTGAAAGCATTTAAAGACGTAAAAGCTATAATACTTGCTCCAGTATCCCCAGTTTGGAATGTACGTTTCCAGTAATCAATTAATTTTGGTCGGACAGGACATCCTTCTAGATCTGTGAGTTGAAGTTTTTGGGTACCACTGCTATTGTAGTTTTGCCTATCAAATGCATAACAGTCTCTTACACGGACATCAAAATCATCAGTGCTGCCCCCTATATAAACTATAATAGACATTTCTTGACCAATTTTTACGATTCCATTTATTGGTTGTGTTTTCGGAAAAGTGCCTATTTGCAGCTCCATCCAACACTCAATTTTGTCACCTTGAAAAGGAACCTTAGAAAAATGATTTGAAAGATATATTAGTTCAAGTAAGTTGTGGTAATCGTTTACGAAAAATTCAATAACTTTTATATAAAACTTATGCTATTCTCAAATTATCATTCGACTGTTTACAACAGCAAGTCGCATAAACCACTTGTATAAAAAAAGTTTGGATAAATTTTTTCACGATAAATTTTGATAAAAAAAATACTTTTTCAATATCCAAAAATTCATCAGTTATGTTTTATAACTTATCTAGGAGTATTTTATCAAGATTATCTTGGCTCAATGCGAGTTAATTGAAATTAAATTTATTGAAATCACTGTGTGGGTATACACTAGTAAAATGATGCTGAAACCAGTAAATTCTTTGTCAATCAACTCTACTAAAATATATCTTCCAATACTTTAGCAGTTCACAACATGATCGATTAGAAATTGCTGATAAATTACCGTTACAACGTTCAACATATCCACAACAAAGGGCTGAAACTCAATACGCTTCCTGAACACATCAACCCACTGACAAGAAAGTCTTCTTGCTAAGTCCCAGGCTTCCTGGAAGATTGGATCCATTTGAAAAATTATTATATTCTCAAAATTAAGAACACTTTTCGGATCATTAGGGTCCGGGAATGTCACTGTCCCACAATCTTCCTTGGGAATGAAAAACGTGTATTCAGATAATCCAGAGTCGACTTCTATGTACCTTGAAAACGAGGAGACAATAGACCATAAGATGCCTTTGGAAAAGTATTTAAAAATGCTTAATTAGAATTCAAAACACCGTTTTTCCATAATTGATCGAGTAAGTTTAACATAAATATACAACTCTTCATAATTACAGGACAAAATATTACAACAGAAAGAACATTTGGGCAAAAATCACCTTACAAAAAGCAGACTTATTCTTCAAACAACACTCAAAGCCTTAATTTTCAATAGTTAAGATCACACAAACATTGATAATAAGCAAAATCAGTATTAGCAAAATCAAAATCAAAATTAGCCCATTTGCTCATATTATTATTATTATTGTTTAACAAAAGTTAATTCGATCTCCTTAATTTTGTAGTGCTGCGAAAGTCCTTCACTTTCCACCATAAAAAATCCGGTGTTTTCTTAATGTGCGCGTTAGTTGGAAACTGAAACTCATGCATTTTCTAGATGATTAATTGGAAAGTGCCACGTGAAGGGTTCCTGACTTTGCTGTTGCATACCGTTACTCGAGTCCCCCTTGCTCTTTGTTACAGAGTTTGCTGTCTCTACGTGGATTTCCGAGACTATATTTCAGCAAGTTGTTATTAGTGGCCGATTACCATAGTAGATTTCCCCTACTCAGACAACAGTGGTGTTTCATTCTACTGTTTCTTGTGCTTATCTGAAATAATGAGTGCATATTCAGAATTTATTACTACTGCATATAGCACTATTTCATATAGCTATTACTATTTTTGAATAGTAGATGTTAATGTAGCGGTTGTAAATGTTGTCGATAATTGGCGACGTATGTTAAGTGTGTCGTTGTTGTCTATCTTGCATGCATTATTTGTGTCACCTTATTCTAGCAAACACTTGTGCACAGCAGGCTGTTGAAGAATATACATATGCGTCATGTAGACCTAACAAGGTAAGCATGTTACTGTGTCTGTTTACATTGCATTAATCTGTGTTGTATTATCTTAGAAGAAACATTATTCCATTCTGAAGAGATTGCTTTGTTTCTGCTCATCTATTGTTACATTATACTGTGACATTGATGGAAGCCGGCCATTAAATATCTGATGATACAATCTTAGCCTTCAAGAGGGTTATTTGAGAAACAACTTTACATTTTATTGATGTAGTTGCATACCAGTACATGTGTTTATTCTTTGTTCTAGTTACATACTAGTACATGTGTTTATTCTTTGTTCTAGTTACATACCAGTACATGTGTTTATTCTTTGTTCTAGTTGCATACCAGTACATGTGTTTATTCTTTGTTGTACTTGTACATTTGTTATTTATTTTGAATAAGTTCAGTATGGTGGTTGGGTGGAAAAAAAAGGCAATGCAGCAGTAAAGTGTGGTAAAACATGCAAGTTTCAACTGGGCCCGACATGGCTAGGTGGTTAGGGCGCTCGACTCACAATCTGAGGGTCGCGGGTTCGAATCCCTGTTCCACCAAACATGCTCGCCCTTTCAGCCGTGGGGGCGTTATAATGTGACGTTATGGTAAAAGAGTAGCCCAATAGTTGGCGGTGAGTGGTGATGACTAGCTGCCTTCCCTCTAGTCTTACACCGCTAAATTAGGGACGGCTAGCGCAGATAGTCCTGGTGTAACTTTGCGCGAAATTCAAAACAAACAAACAACAACAGTTTTATAACAGTTTCTTTACCATTAATCTCATCCTTCAGCAAGCTCTCTTTTATACGAGGCTTTGTTCATTATTGGCCCTAGCTAGCTAAGATCTTAAACCTAACAGATTAAACAAGAACGTCCCATCCTCGTATGGCATGCTCAAGTACACTAAAGTTAATAATAATAATAGGGGATCTTATGTTAGTATGTTCTTTCACTCACGTTATCAGTTTTCTTTTAGTAGATCCAGTGTAGCCTTGCTGACATCAAAGACAGGTAATTTCATAAACAACAAATGATTATTATAAAGCAAAAATTCGCTCATTAAGTTTAGAGAAAGACTGTAGGCGACAGTTAGGTTTAAACACACATCTCAACGGTATCCTGTGGATACACCCTTATAATAATAGTTTAACTTACTTTTAAGAATTATTATTATTATTTACACATGTTTGTTTGTTTGTAATTAAGTATAAAGCTACACAATGGGCTATCTGTGCTCTGCCCACCACGGGTATCTAAACCCGGATTCTAGCGTTGGAAGTCCGCAGACATGCCGTTGTGCCACTGGGGGGCTTTTTTTTTTTACACATATGTGATAAACTGATAATTACAGGTTACTTGGAGACATCAAATATGTCTGGTGTACCAACGTTTCGTTTGTTTAAATAATTATTAAGTATTCTGTCAATTGGAAAAATAGGGAAGTTATTTTTACATTTGTTCTCGACGCTTGTTAAACGTGTTTTTACACGAAACCTCAGGTACAAAAACCACTGGGCTCAGTAAATAATGGTTGGGTGAAAAAAATAAAGCCAATGCACTGCAGTAACCTGTTGAAAAATATGTAGCATTCAACAGAATGCACGTGTACGTATGTGGCTTAAAATTTATTCTCCATAAACTTAAGAAACAAGATAATTAAAAATTGTTAATTTAAAAAGGAAAATAAGGATCGTCAAAAAAGTACAGAATCAAGTTGAATCAAAATGCAAAGATTACATTTTCGAGACTACGACTAGGGACTCTAAAAAAAGTAAATAAACTAGGCAGGAAATAATGTCTACATTATTTTCTCATACTATAAAAGTAGACATTATTTCCTGCCTAGTTTGTGTACTTTTTTTAGAGTCCCTAGTTGTAGGCTTGAAAATGTAATATTTGCATTTTGATTCAACTTGATTCTGTACTTTTGACGATTCTTATTTCCATTTTTAAATTATAATTTTTTAATTATTTTGTATGTATATGTACACACATATATATAGCAATTTTTCAAAATCAAATCATTCGCGAAAAACGTATGATTAAGTGTGAAAATATATAAATGAAAAAGAAATAGACAATTTTGAGACCATCATACTTTCTAATAATTTATTAAATAAATTAATCTATACACCTGGAAAAAAGTTAAGCTCCCCCAAATATTTTTCAGGATTGCTT